AAAAAGTGAAAAAGAGGCTTGCTTTTTTGCTAGTTTTTAGCATCAATAATTTCAAAAAAAATTAATTGCTTGAGTTTCCTATACCGAGGGCGTAATACGTAGTAAATATAAGCAAACATAGATGTTTTATTTAATTATTTATAAATATTTAAATCGGCAAATCTTTTAAATGTTGATTGACAAATAAAACAAATTTTTTCAAATAATGTTAACTAGCTTTAGCAATAATTTATATTTCTTTGTTCAGAAATCTGTTGCCCATGAACTTTTATTAGTTATTATCTATGATTACTATGATTCTTTCAACATTTAGCATAATTAATTTAGACACCTTTTATATTTATTTATCTAGATAAATGACTTCCTCTTAATATATCAAAGAAAACGAAATTTTGTGCATGGTAGTCATTTGACCTTGTTTTCGCAACTTGATTATATTGGCAGGAAGACCTAGAGGAACGCACCTTGTCAGGAGTCCATAGAATGCATGATAACTTCTAGAATCGGACCTTAGAGTTCATATATTCTCAGACATTTTTCTGACATCGTAGTCGGCATCGTCAGTGAGACATTCCATCCCAGACCAGAGATGGATTGTTACAGTTTCCTCAGGTTACTTGGGTTTAATCAAAGAGATGATGCGTGAAGGAAATGTCTAATATCCCTAAGCAGAAGGATCAGAAGACCCGAGTTGAATTAGCCACTCGAAAGGGATAGGTGCTAGGCAAGCAGCTAGAATAATGACGCCACGGTATATTTGCCAAAATGGCAACTCTTGAGCAATGGAATAAATACAAGTAAGAAATTATGATAGTATGAGGACGCTACAAGAGGGTAGTAAATAGATAGAGGGACTAGGGACGTTTAGACAGAAAATTAGTCAAGGGTTGGACTTCACTTATCTCTTTGACGAGTTTTAGTTCGGTGCTGAAAATGGCAAGCCTTATTGACGATGCCGACTTCGAGGCCGGCAAAACGTCTGAGAATTCACCAAGTCCACAATCCGACTCTGAAAATTTTTATGCATACTATAGACTCCGGACAAGATGCGTTCCTATAGATCTCTCTTCCAATATGACCCAGTTGTGAAAACAAGGTCAACTAACTACTATACATCGAAAGGAGACGACGACCAAAATAGAGGCCACAATATCAAAGAAATTTTATACAATTTTTAAATTTTTCTTTAGGCCTTCTCTACACGTTTTACATGAGAAGAAGTGGCAATACCTTAGAACCAGTACTTCCTGAATATCGTATTAATGTATTTATTTCCCAGGCTATGGGTCTTCTTGCTTTCTCTGAAGTAACAACTCAGGTAATCAAAATTTCTTAATGACGCCAAAGACATGAAGTACCTTTCTTTTAAAACTTTTATGTCATTAAAATTTACATAACGTTTATTGACTTAGTTTTCTCTTATACTTGAACTGCGCATAAATAAAAAGTTTAATTAAAAATTAATTTCTTAAAATTTATAAAAGGATTCCGGTATCTACGTATGCATGGTGACGGTGCATAATTTGGACATCGATTATTCCATAGATGGTGGGGACTCTTTCAAGTCTCCCGATTACCCTTTGAATGTAGACGAGAGTAATGAACCACGTCAGGAACCTCGTATACAGGACAGCTTTCCTGCAGTCTGGCCGAAAAACCCAATCCAAGGTCGTCTAGTTCGACTTGAATGTTTCGCTGCAGGCAGCACAAGATCTGGGCCTCTCGTCTATTCTTGGAGACGGGTGAGTAGTTTAATTAGCTATCGTTATGACCTTTAAATTTTAAACCAAATTATGTTTTACTTAGGCTATCTAGCAAAAAAATGGCTAAAATATGTTGCTAGCCTCGTTAAAATGAACTTTATACACTATTACCACTTGCCTAAATGGCGACTTACAATTATATATGCCTTCCTGTTTTGATCCCTTAATTTATGCTGGTTTCTTGAACTGGTTTATAGGGTGTCCGAGAAAATTAGGTAAACCCATGCAGAATTTTATTTGAATTCAAGATGAGTAATATTCTCGATTTTAACTATGAAATTCAGCTACCATAGGTCTCTTAAGATGATTTAAAGTACTTTTAATGATTACTCCACTCCTTTTAATGTGGAAGTTTCCACTATCATTCCTATCCATCACTTTAATTAGCCTAAGGTGACTAAATTTCTTATTTAATAATTACTGAAGGTCTCAAAATATAATTTTGATTTTGAGTTGATAAATACTGATTATACAGTATGCATCATAGTATATATTAACTCTTTTTCACTGTTTTTTTCGTGTTTACGGTTATTAAGAGAAAGATTTTCCAAGTATTTTTTTGTGTGAAGAAAAAAGGTTATACATGATCTGCTTACTAGTTCTGAGCAGCTTTATATTTTGCGTTGAGCTAATGTTTGGTTTCAAACTTATAGTGTTTTATTTATCTATTTACTATTTACTATGTGAGATAATTCAACTTTTGATTTTTAGCGGGATGGCTTGCCAATACCACCAGCTGCCTTAAAAGACTCAAATCGAGTAATTGAGTTTCCCTCTGTACAATTAGAGCACCAAGGTGATTACGAATGCTCGGTACGTTATGGCAAATTCTATTCAGCATCAGACTGAAAAATAGTTTTATTTAAGTATTTTTTTAAATTTATTACATGTTATAGAAAAAAAGTATAAACTCAAATTAACCACAAACGAAAATGAGTGAATATGATGCTATGTTGGCATAACTTTCTATTTCGTTTGAAAGGCAGCTGGCCGCACAGGATAGCGAAGGAGAATTGTCCTGGACTTTTGACAGTTGGATTATGCGAAGCAGACTTCGGCTCATTGTCCTACGAGCCCGATGAATCTTTGCTGAGCGTTCGTCGGCCATGTGACGGACATCATTAGGGCCAGAAGCCATACTTTATGAACAATTACCAAAAAGGCTAAACCATGAAACTGATTTGATAAGAATTTTATGGGAACCCATTTATTTGTAACACATTCACGTGGAGATTTAGGTATTTTGAAAGCTTAGTGTCAGACGAAATCAAGATTAGATTTTTACTCGATATTCTTAAATTGAGGTTTATGCAGTACACTTATATGGCATTTAGCTACGGTTATGAGTCAGTTGATTAGAGCCTCACTATTGGCAGCACAGTCCAGAGTTCATCGATGCTTACTGAGCCAAGTGATATTTTTTGAGCTCATTTTAATTATGAATTAAAATATGTGATCGAGAGAATTGAAAGTCGATCCCACCAGAAGATGGCGGAATAGTCTTATTGGCCAGATTTCGGTTAACTTCACTGGAATGTTTTGGCAGACGCTGTACAAGAGATAATCTTCTTTGACTTCGTGGAAGACCAGCTAAGCTTTCGTCTGTCCTCTGGTGGGCATCATTATGGCAACCATATGCGGGCATAAGAGTTAAGAAAACTCACCATAAGCTTATCAATTTATAAAGTATATAGTGAGTCGATTAATTTAAGTCATATGCCAATCTGAAGGCATGTATGTCGGAATGTTTGCTCGTGTCTACATGGATTCACGCTTGCATATACGGGCAAAACCATCGGGGGCGGCTCAACTCATCAAGATTTAATGACTTTTTTAGACCATCACTCCAAATGTACAATTCCGGGTGCAAGTATGGTTAAATTGATGGGAGTTTTGTCTGTGCGTGTGTGTGTACGAGATGGAGAGAGTGATTGAGATGTATGGGAAGTTTGACCATAATTGAAAACATGAACAACTATGGACTAGCCTAGTCGCCTCCTGTTTTCAGGTGGCTCATCACCCTTTCCTTACATCTACCAATTAAGCATAAGTTTTTGTTTTATATCTTCTTACCGGTATTTCTGACGTTCAATGTATTACCTAATCTCTTGAATTTAATGACCTCCTAAAGTTTGAGCCTAGTTGCAAGCATACAATGCTCAACTAAAGGACCAATTTTATATAATTGCTGAATTTTTGCATGGCTTTCCATGAGATAAGCAGTAGATCCATGCTTAATTGCTTATAAGGGAAAGTTCATCAAGCCTATGAGAAGATCTACCTTAAGCGGGGTCTGTTCCATTACGCTTCTGGTAAAAATCTCCCTAGGTAACAATGGAATGAAGATATTCATCTAATTTACGCAACCACAATATCCCTGCATTTTAAGCATATTCAGTATACTTCTTGACTCTTTGGAGCCATCTTGGGATTATCTATAACTTTTCAAATAGTCCCATGATTTGGATCAGGTTTAACTCCTTTATGGAAATGTCAAGTTTAGAGGATTACTGTTTTTTGCCTGGTAACCCCTGAGCAATGATTTCTATGGTAACTGCCTTTATTTTAGTATGTATGAAAATACGACACTTGATCACGGCAGGTCATTTAGGCGAGTCGTATTTCGGTACTGCTTACATCTCTTTTCTCCGACACTGCCAAATATAATACGGGCTAAACGGCAGACAGTGTGTCTGTTCAACTATTCAATAATGGTAGAGAAAATGACGAAACGCGTAAATCTGGAAGAATCAAGAACTTACTATAAGCATTCTATTTAAAATGACAAGGTTGAGATAACATTTTCCGAAATAAATTGTTCAGACCTTTAATTTAAGCAAACTTCTTCCTACAAATTTCACATTTGCATCCAAATTTCTGATTAAAGCATCAAATGATTAGATGATCTATTGAATAATTGGTTGATGTAGGACAATGTAGTTCGTTCAAAGTACTGGCTCTAGATTAGCGCAAAAAAGTAGACCATGATTATTACATAAATGTGCACTTCGGCCTTGTGCTTACTCTTCTTTCGATGTCGGCTGCCGAAGGTGACGAAGGAGGCCGGGTTTATACAGAAGAGGCAGGTTCTATTGCCCGTCAAAACGATGACCTTGGCATTGTAATGATACCCTGAACGAGACGTAGTTAGGTGTGTGACAGCAATAAAAGAGCTGCCATAGGAACCAAAGATTTGTATTGAAGATTTCTTGTGCTTTTTTGCGATTCATCTGATGCTAACATACTCACTATTTATTACTTAACAAATGTTTATGTTTACTCTAAATCTACTCTCCGTCATCATCACGTCAATGACAACTCCTGCATCAGGTTCGCGACGCCGAGGGCCGTAAAGCTATGCCCAAGTGGCTAGAGTTGCTGATCAACACGTTGCCTGCTTTCGTCGCTAAGCCTCGTGATCAGGTCGTCGACTCGGGCATCTCCGTGCGTTTCGATTGTGAAGCTTTTGGCAAACCTCAGCCCGTACACATTTGGTTCCGGAATGAGGAGAGTGTGCTCGACCTGCTGACGGCAGGAAAGCTCGATGCTGCCCGCTACACCCTTGTGGACAGTTCCATATCACCAGCCACCTTGAAGATATCACAGGTATCTCCTAATTGCAATGTTTTTTCTTCTTGCCTTTTACAATTCCGCCATAAGAACCAGTACTAAACTGGGTCACTAATGTCACTTTCTGATAGAGCCTACTTTTTGATTGCCATCACTCCGTTGACTGGAATAATTGGCTTGCGTTTTCCCTAGCATGCATGATGAGCATAAAATGTGGATTCTAAACCCATGCACTCATTTACTTGTTGAGATCACATCCATTTCAAGGGAATATATTTGATGAAGAGATTCGAAGGCTGATCCCACTATAAGGCGATGGCGGATCCCTATTTATTAGCTGTCGATTGATTTCACTTAAACATTAGTGTTTACGCTGTTTCCGGTGATGCTGGTGAAAGCGTGGGAATGAGCTAAAAATTACAAATCAGGAGATTCCTCAAAACCCTACTTTTGTTTGGCAAATCTGTCCATCTGACTAAAAGCCTCTCAATAGCTTTGGTGTGTTCATAAATTAGAGGGAGCCGAAATAAAGCTATGCTACGAAGGAAAGTTGGGCTTTGAGGAATCTCTTAGCGTATAATTAATGAGCTCACTTCCATTTCGAATGAAAGTGTGTGAAGAAGAGATTCAAAGGTTGATACCAACAGAAGACGACAGCAGATTCCTCTTGCAGCATTCATGCTGACCCTGCCTCTGATGCAAGCTGATTAGTTTCCGGTGAGTTTCATATGAACTGAACTAACCAAATTACTTTATTTCCCATCAAAATGCACAGGTTTATTGTATATATACAGCATTTAGGGATATGCACGAATGGCATGAATATGTTTATAAAAATGATATTTAAATTAAATATGATCAGTAGATCTTGAATAAAAGATTTAGTCATTCCAGTTCGCTTATGGCGAAGAAGGAATGATAGTGTATTTTTCCACACTGAAATGATTAGGCCCCACTTTGCAATTGACTTTCGCGTAGCTCTGTCTTAAAAAACGTATTTTTATTCCAGGAAGAATGCAGCTTTGGCCTAGCCTGAGTTTAATCGGCACCCCTAACGGGAATCGAACCCGGTATTTCAGTATACTATTGTGACATGCTATTGTCACGCCACACTACCACCAGTGCCAGCCTTTCATGGAGCCGAAGTGATTTTCAAAGCAAAGTAGGCCTCTCCCATATTACATTTTAATAATGGGGTTGTCTCTGAAGCAGACATATATTTTCCGGTCCAGTCGACAATGTTACTGATATTACAATTTGGTAGGATTTTAAGACTATAGCTAGATCTTGAATAAGAGCTTTAGTCGTTACCTTAAGCTACCTGAGGTGACAAAAATTCTTTTTCAAAACCTACTGATAGCCTCGAAATTCTACAGAATTCGAATAGCGTACTCACAAGCATATTTTTGGAAATATGTCGAAGTTTTACGTTGCACTATCCAACTTGATTCCCACCGAAGGTGTTGATGAGACCCAAACGAGTTCAAAACTGCAGTTCAGCATGGAATAGAGTTCCTTTGGGAAGCAAAGCTAAGTGAAAATTATTTGCAGTGGCAGGCCTTCTCATCTCTTTGCGGGAAAAAAACTTTCAGTCCTTCGTCACCTTAACCGATTCAGGATGGTTAGAGCTCTTATTCAGGGTCTACTGATAATCTCTAAATCCTATTTAATTCAAATAAAATTCTTACA